AGCAGGAATCATGGGTGAGAAATTCAGGAGGGACAGGTGAAACTGGAAGAAAGTGGAGAGCCTTTCCCCACTAAAGAGCTGAATTTCAGTTTTGATGCAACAGAATGCTCAGATAAAAACACAAATTAAAGACAGCTAGCATGAAAGGACTTGGACACTGAAATTATCCTATAGGCTGTTTTCAAGCAACTCTGAGCAGTCAGAGCATTTTCACAGCATCTCTCCTGCTGTGACTCATGTTTACCAAGGCCAAGGGCGATGGCCACTGGGGTCACGCACCCAGCCCAGCTGCCAGCCGAGAACGACTCACCTTCGGGCACCCCTCGGGTGCCAGCCGAAGGACGGGGCTGCGCACACCCGCGGCAGCGGGAGGTGGCTCTCGCAGACCGGCCAGCGCAGCCCGAACTCCGCCAGCCCTGGCAACGTGTTGACATGAAAACAGGGAGACGAAGCGGGTAAATGTGCCCATTTCAGCTGGCCTGCCTTCATCTGTGGCTCGGTGTGCCCTCTCTCTAGGGGAAACCTCCGGCTGCCTGTGTCCTGCTGCATCGTGGAAATACTCGCAGCTGGAGGGGAGCAGAGTGTTTTCGGTGGCGGGGGGTGGCCAGAGGGGAGGACAAGCGGGTTCACCCTACAGAAATCCTGGGCAGGGGCAAGTTTACGTGAGTTTTGCTCTCAAGCTTTTTCTTAAACAACGGGAAACCAAACAAACCTCATACTTTTGCACAGCAGCACCCCGTTGTACGCAGCTCACCGCAGTTCCTGTGGGAAGTCTATTACACCCGTCCCTGGGAGTTTCAGCAGCTCGGAGGGAAGAAAAGAGACAATTTTTAGATACTACCCATCCTACTAGGATTGCTGCCCCGGGAACCTTCCTCCTGGCCTCCCATGGGATGGCTGCACATCCAGAACAGGCCCCAGACAGCTTCGTTCTCACGTGAGCACCTGAAGCCATGAGTGACCACTGCTGAAGAGCACCAGCAACCTGCTCCCTGATGAGCCCACCTCTCCCAGTGCCTTCCCGCCCCATTTAATGCCTGAAGTTTTCTCTAACAAGGACGTCGTGGTGGGTCAAAGATAGGAGCAAGCAGAGCCAACAGCCTGGGGAACAGCAGCAACGTGCGGTGCTTGTCAGAGCAGGACACCACCACAAGCACTTCAACAGTGTGTTTTTTCCAGCCAGGATTGTAAGAAAAAATCTTTCCCTTTTGCTGATACCATTTTGCCAGCAACCCTCCTGGTTTGCAGATAGAGCTGTGCAGGTGGGAGGGAGCAGCTCTTGGCTTTGCCTGTGTCATGGAGGAGGTGGTGTAACTACAAGAGGAGAAAAACTGCTCTTTCAGCACCCCATTGCACATGGGTGATGCAGGCAGCGACACAGCTGTGCTCACGGGGCAAGAACAGCAGCAGCTTCTCCCATGCAGAGAGGCCCCAAGCTTGAGCTGATCCCAACCCATAACCCAACAGAGGTCTTTAAGGAAAGGGCACTGTTACTGTGTAATAGCT